ATTCTTCGCCTGGGCCCAGGTCCGCCACACCTCCAGCCCCTCCTCGGGCTTCAGGGAGTTGGGCAGCAGCAGGTCGGGGGGCGCCTGAGGCTGAGTGTCGACCTCCGTCACCTGCACCGTCTGCGCCTGCGGGAGAGAGGAGAGAGCGCAGGGAGCTGTTACCGCCCTTACCACAAGAGCTCTGCGGATGAATGAGATCGACAGGGAAACACACGCCCAACAGGTGGATCAGGAAGTGGGTAGCCGGCCCCCCTAAAGCCCCCCTGTTGTGTCAGCTTACTCCGATAGTGTAAGCTGAGACACCAACCCCACAGACGCCACACTCCTGCCCCACAGTGCAGCTCTGCTGCAACGTCCCCTGGTTATCTGAATCCCTTCGGCTAAAGGAAGAAATAGCATTTACTAAAGTTGCAACACAGGACAGCATGGGCACGTCTATGTTTGTCTATACTTTGGTGTTTAAGATCTGGACAGGTTACACAGGAGACGTGGGAGAGATGATCAAGTTATTCCCACAGACTGCCGAGTACTCCACAGGCCTGCACCTCTTCCGCAGCCTCACTCGGGAACGCCCATTCCTGCTGTCCCCTCGGCCGACACGCTGCCCTAAACCCAAATGCAACCAGCTGGACCCGCTGAACTGCACCGGACCTGGCACAGCCCGCCCGGCCCACGAACTGCCACCCCCTTACCGGAGCCGGCCAGGGACAGGAGCGAGGGGGAGCCCCCAGCGCTGGCCCGCGCGGCGGCCAGGCCGTGCGCTCACCTGCAGCTGCTGCTCCTGCGCGGTGGAGCCCGGGGGAGGGCCGGCCTGGGGCTGCGGCTGGGCCTGTGGCTGCTGGGGGTCCCAGATGTGGACGGACTGCGTGGCGTTGGGGTAGGCCCCGGCCACGGCCTGCACGGCCACGGGAATGTGGATGTTGCCGTTCATGAACTGCGCCGGGAAGAGCGTGTTGGCCAGCGTCTGGACCACCTCCTCGTGGGTGGCTGCCGACACGGGGGTCGCGGCGGCGGCGGAGGCCACGATGGAGGCGGAGGACGAGGAGGCGGACGAGGAGGCGACGGCCACGCCCTTGCCCGCCACCACCATCTTGTCCTTGTCCTCCTCCAGCTTGAGCGTGGTGGGCGAGCCCGTGACGTGCACGGCGCCGTAGGCCTCCTGCGGGATGGCGATGTGGGTGATGTTCTGCTGCTGCAGGTCTCCGCGCGCCTGGGCGGAGTACACGGGGATGGTCCAGGTCTCGCCCGTGGGGCTGGTGATCGTGCCCGTGGCGCTGTACAGGTGCGCGCTGTCCACCGTCAGCAGGTCCGGCCGCAGAGACAGGTAGCTCTGCTGCTGCCCCTGGGGGATGGCCAGCACGGTGGCCACGGGCTGCCCAGGGATGGCATAGGACACCGTGATGGGCATGTCCACCTTGCGCTTCTTGGCCGGCTGCAGGACGCCCCCCGTGCTGCCCCTCCGCTCGCCGTCCCGCGGAGAGCCCTGCTGTCCCTGCTGCTGGGGCGACAGCGCCCCCACGGTCTGGATCTGGATCTGCTGCCCGCCGGCCGCCACCGCCGCCACCAGCTGAGCCTGGATCTACAGAGAGCGAGAAGGCACGTTAGTCTCGCGCTCGATCACGTCCAGCAACGTCTGTTCTGTCGACGGCCGTAAACGGCGCGTCGGTCGCATCGGCCTGGGTGACGCTGCGGTGGACCGGTCCTGCCACACGAAGGCCTCTGGACTTGCGGCGGCTGACCTGGTGCTGCTGGAGCTGCTCCTCGGAGATCTCCCCGTGCTGCACTGCCAGCTGGGCGGCCGCAGCCACGGCCTGGAGCTGCGAGCTCGACAGCTGCTGCTGCTGTTGCTGTTGTTGTTGCTGCTGCTGCTGCGTGGGGCTGGCCGTCTGCAGGACCTGCGCCCCTCCCTGCGCCTGCTGCTGCCCCTGGATCTGCACCTGACCGGGACGGAGAGAGGAGCCTGGGTCAGGCCGGGCATTCGGAGAACAGAACCACACAGAGGATCACAGCAACAACTACGATGGAGAAGACGGCTCAGGCAACACTAAAGGCAAGGCCTGAATCATGGCCATTACCAAGCAGGGAAACGGGGGATAATTCCCCAACGTCACAACACTTCACTGCAGTTGGACAGAGACGCCACTGTTACCTTGACAATATTCCTGGTGCACTCGATCGCCTGCAGTAATTTCACTGAATGAATCCATGCTGCTTTTAAAGGACTGTAATTTTCATTAACCTCTTAGCGTGGAGCAATGCTTTTGCCTTCTGATGTCCATTAGCAGTTGTTTACTCTGGGTTTTGTTTACTCTGGGACTCGACAACTGATAACAGACATCAGGAGCGCTCAGTGGCGAGATGCAGGGCTGTCATTCCTCCCTGCAGACTGCAAAGGAGCTTCCTCTACCCATCTCGTCCAAGGGGGGAAGTCTTATTAACTGTACTATCCTGGCTTCGCCAGCTTTTTGAGCACTTAAAGTTACAGTTTTTGTAAGCATGGAGATCAAGCAGGAGAGAGGAGAGAGGAGAGAGGCCGCCGCAGTCCTGACCTGCACTTGAATCTGCTGCTCGGAGGCCTGGTGCACGGCGGCCGCGAGCTGTGGGGAGAGCTGCGCGGGAGCCACCTGCTGCTGCGCCTGCTGCGGGGGGGCCTGCTGCACTTGGACCTGCACCTGATCCCCCGGGCAGAGAGAGAGAGAGAGAGACGTCATTGGAGAGCGAGACGAGGGCGCGAGAGGAGGGGGGGACGGGGACGCGGGGTCACGGGGAGACAGAGTCTGCCGAAAACGAGAGGCCAGGAGGGGAGGCGAGGAGAGGAGAGGCGCGCGGAGAGAAACACAGCGTCACAGAGTGAGGAACGAGCAATGTTCAGACAGTGCGACACACACGGGGTCAGACCCAGACAAAACACCACCAAATGGTGCTTCAAGACTCCTGGAGAGACTGAGCCCTCACAGCACAGACCACGAGGCAGAGAGGAGCAGCAGCAGCACACAACAGACAAGGTGGGGGAGAGAGGCAGAAGGGCACATGTGACATCACCCCTAAAATGGAGAGGGGAGGGAAGCAAGCGGCAGCGCCAGGGGGGAGCAGGGGGAAAGCGCGGGTACTCACTGGGCAGGCCAGCTCCAGCAGTGAGCCGGCCACCTCCGTGCTGTCGGTGTAGATGCAGTTCGCCCCCTGCTGGTAGACCATGGTGGTGGCGCTCTGCTGGAACTCCTGCAGCGCCTCCGGGCCCTTGCTGGCCAGGGACTCCAGGAACTCCTTCATGCGGTGCTGCGGCACACTGCGCGCCTTCAGACGCACGTACTCCTCGAACGAGATGGTGTTCTCTAGAGAGTTATTCATGGCAGCCCACAACTCCCACTGGGGGATCTGTCAGAGCGAGAGAGAGAGAGGAAGAAGGAGATTCAACTGGACTGACTGGAGGAGGAGTGAGAGAGAGCTGGACAGAGAGAGAGCGCTGGACAGGGGGGGGGGGGTGAGAGAGCACTGGACAGAGAGAGAGAGCTGCACAGAGAAAGCATGGACGTCAGAGCAGAAACTCAAATCTAAGCAGAAGGGCTCTGAACCAGCCTGGATTTCACTGAACTGAGCTGTCAACTACCGCGACGGCTCCTTAATAATGGAACTGATTCGGCAGTGACCAGAGCTGGGTCTGGAAACGGGCTAGATGGGCTGAGACCCGCGGGCCTGGCCAGCAGGCTGTGCAGGAGACACGAGGGTGTCACAACTCACAACTACCCGGGCTTATTAAAGCCAAAAGGCGAATGGGCACCTACAGATGGCGGCCAGCAGGGGTCGTCCCTCAGGGTGCTGCCCTGTAACCCCACAGGACCGAGTGTGGAGGCGGCCTCACCCCCACCCACCCCCCGTCCAGCAGGCAGGGGGGATCTCGCCTGTTTGCACGGAGATACACTCCACACG